TGAAACAATGAAGGACATCTCTGATTCATCAGGCAGGTAAGACTCATCCATCCCAACAGACTGGGCTCTCAGTGAGGCTTTAGGACCCGACTTTAATCCTGTTCCCACACCTGGGAAGCAGCATGGTGGAACACACAGTCAGACAACACTAAAGGATCAACTCTGTCTCTACTGTCAGCACTGTCACTCTGCAGCTTTTGAGGCCTCACTTTCCACATCTGTACATTAGAACAATAGAGACCCATACTTCTCAGCTTCTGGGATGAACACATGAGAATCTCCAGCCATAATCGTGCATTTGCTTACAATAACTTTCACCTGGGTCGATGTTCCTTGTGCATCTGAAGATGTTCACATTTATATCCACCCTGAGGTGAAAATTATTTGCTGGCATGGGCCCTAGTTGCATGAATTACTCTCTACTATTGGGAAATTCTACAGTGAGATCTTGGTATACTAATCCTCATATTTTCTATCACTGATCCCTGTTGATCTGCAAAATCTGCATCTTTAGTTGGAAAAGAATGTTTGTCTCAGGTACAAGGTGGGGACAGGTGATGCTACCCAGTGTCTGGGAGAGGAAACATCGCCAGCAAGCCAAGGGTTGGGGCTGGGAAACCTGGGTCAAGAATACAGGGATGGCCTCTGTTTCCAGTCTTTATGACCATGCCCTTAGGTCACCAATCCCCCCTCTACCAATGATCTGATCTCAAATCAAAGACAGGACCACAGTTTTGTTGGCATGTAATAAAAGACCTGGGTCCTGCTGGACAATGCCCTGCCAAGCAGACCCAGGAAACTCATGTTGCTCCACTGTGTCTGAATCCCCATGACCATGAAGACTCTCATGGACACTCTCCTCTCGCCCTCCTTTAAACACATTGTCATAAGGTTTGTGCCTTAGACAAGCATTTTCCTTAGACAGGACCTTGGCATGGAAGTTGTGTTTATGTGAAACATCTCTCTCCTTACTCAAACTCACTGAATCTTTTCACCTTTCAGGGTCTTTTTCTTATTCTTTTATTTAATTTTTTGGTCTTTTTGAGACAGGGATTTTTGTGTAGTTTTGGTGGCCTATTGTGGATCTCTCTGTAGACCAGGGTGCCATGAACTCAGAGATCCTCCTGGTTCTGCCTCTCAAATGCTGGGATTAAAGGCATGTGCCACCACCACCCGGCCTTCTTTTTTTCTTATAAGAATAACCACTGGTCATTCGGAGTACTTCTCTCTGTTGTCATTGTATGCACACACATTTTGTGACAGGGTCTCACTATACAGCTCTGGTTAGCTTCAATCTCAGAGAGCTACCTGCCTCTGTTTCCTGCATGGTGGGGTCATAGTTGGGGGACACCAGACCAAATGTCACACTGTCTATTTAACTGGGCCTTTTCTTTGTTTATTTTTGGAAGGAAGAAATGGGTGTGGGGGGGGCACACATGCGCATGTGTCAGCGCCTGGAGCTCACCAAGTAGGCTAAGCCAGCTGAGGAGTCTCCCCATCTCTGTCTTCACTGCTCTGGATTACATGTTTTTGTTGTCACCTGGCCTTTCTTTCTTTCCTAGTTAATAAGATCCTAGGGATGGAACTTGGGTCCTCATGCCTACAGGGAAAATAATGTGTAGACAGAGATATGTCCCTGGCCCTCTTTACTAATTCTGCTAGTCAAATATCTGCTATGTGATCAGGCAGGAATTGTACTCAGCTCAAAGAATGACTTAATGAATACACACAGGTTCTCTGTCTTTTTAAACATATCCTGAGGACAAGGTAGCCAGGGGAGTATTTGGTTTATCAGTGAATTCAAGGGCAATGAGGAGCCCTACACAGACCATCATACTTAGCAGAACACAAGGACAGCACACCCTCCATTCAGGGGACATTCAGGATGGAAACCTCAGGGGATAACAACTAGATGAGAGTTGAAGGGGAGGGGACAACAGCAGTGAGACTTGTGTATGAAAGAAGTTAAAGGCTGAAGGGTTTTTTCCAGCTCCCCAAGGATCATCCTGGTGCTGTGTAAGTGGGGGCTGAGGAAATGATGCTGTGTAGGGGTTGTGATGAGCACCCAGGCACTGAGGAAACAGATACTTAGGAATGAAATGTTCAGATGCTCACTGATGGTCCATACAGATATGGACCACTGGGCAACAATAATGAGACCGTGGAGCAGAGTTATGGGTCCCCTGACCTCCAGAGGACTTTTTACCGTGTGTTCAAATATTAACCAAGCTTTCTAATTTCCTCCTTTTGCAGGCAAAATGCCATGATGGTCATAGTATCTACATTCTTGACAGAGAGAGACTCCCTTGCATTGGAAATACAAGTGAGTCCTGTAGCAGCTCTTGGTACCTAGAGACTGATACGGGCAGGAGAGGTATCTGTAGGTGTGGCTGTGTGCTCAGGACTCTGCTCCTGTGAGATGCAGATTTCTATTTGGGAGGTCTGTGTGCACCTACTCCTCCTCCATAGCTGGGCTGCAGAGAGAGGAGGCAGAAATCACAGATGATGCCTTGAGCTGTTAATACATCCATCACCACCTGTGCCCTTTAAGCTAATATTTCATGTAATCAACACACTTTTATTAAAATGACTGTTGAAGCACCTGTGAATGAGAAGCTACAGGAAACTGGGAATTGGGGCTCCCCAAAGGCTTAAGCCTTCTGGGGGCTTGAATTTACAGGGTTCAGGAATTCAAGGTTTAAGGAATCTGGGTGTTAAGGTTCTAGATCCTAGATTTCCAGGTCCTGAACTTCTGACATCCTGAGGTGGTGGGTACTCAGCAGCCTGGGACAGCTATGGTTCCAGCTCCCACAATTCCATAGTTCCAGGTTGCTAAGGTTAACTGTTCTTAGGTCCTGGAAATGAGCACCTCTGTCTGGGGAGGGTGCAAAGTGTGTTGTCAGCAAAGTCTCATCTGTTTTCCATTCCCCTCCCCCTCCTCCTTCCAGTTGCTCTCTGGCCTTCATATACTTCCAAGGAGTGGTGCTCCTCTCCAAATGATGATTCAGGTCATCCTCTGTAAGTCATACCCTGGGGACTGAAGAACCTTCCATGGCCCAAGACGACAGCTGTGGTAGGGACCCAGGCAGGGTCCTTGCACCCTGACCAAGGTGGCCTCTTAGTTTCTCATCCCCTCCCTGGAGGCCTCTTTTGAGCCTTTTGCTCCCCATGATTGACAAGGTAGCTGGGGCAACAGACCCTGGAGGGGACCCTTCTATGGAAATGTCCCTTTACTCGGTGCTTCTGTGTCTTGTACACACTACCTCATTGGATCCTCAAGAGAGTCTGTACAGGACCACTGTCCTTGCTCACCTTCAGGTGAACAGTGACACACTTGAGGTCACATAATTGTCACAGTGACAGGCTCAGGGAAGTGATATGGTAACAAGTTGGGTAGGCTTCTGGTTTTCCATGGCAAAAAACTGAGGCAGATCTTGACCTGTTCCCTTCAGCTGATATACGGGCATAAGAAAACCAGTCTCCATCTTCTGAAGAGTGAACAGAAAGAGGAATGTCGTGACACCCTGCTGGTACAGTGTCCTCAGTACTTTTCTATTGCTGTGACAGAACAACAAGACCTAGGGAAATTATAAAATAAAACACTTAATATGGGTCTCATAGTTCCAGAGGGTTAGACCATCATGATGAGGAGTATGGCAGCAGGCAGGCAGGTCTGGCACTGGAGCAGTAGCTGAGAGCTTATATCTGGAGATACAAGTATGCAACAGTGAGATTTAGAAGTGTGTGGCTTTTGAAACCTCAGACCCCATCCCTAGTGACACACCTCCACTCCCAAGCCACACCTCCTAATCCTTCCCAAACAGTTTTCTAACCGGGAAGCAAATATTGCAATATATGAGCCTATAGTGGCAGTTCTCATAAAGCCCCACAGGTAGACTCTGCAGCCTGTCACAGCAGCCCATAAGACAATTAAGGCCAGGCTTAGGCTTCTGTCACAAGACAAGAGAAAGTGAGACCTGATCCTGACTCCAGGGTGAACTATGATCTTGAGTACTCGCTGGATCATGACCCCAGACTGAGCTGGGCTCTTTAATTCTCAAACATTTTACACAGGGTTAGTGACTGAGCTCTAACTTTGTGCACACACACTTGACTGTGTGCTGAATTCTCACCCTGACTTGGACATGGCCTCCACTCTATCTTTTCCCATCTCCCACAGCTCCAGAAGAAGGGATGAGGAGGCGTTTGAGTCAAGTGCCATATCTAGACCCCAAATCCACAGCTGCTTCTCTTTTCTCCATGGCCTCAGCCATATTGGGCATTGGGCAATGAGTGAATACAGCAGGGCCAGGCCAGTTCGTGTCCAGTCATTGTCTGTGAAAGCCAGCTTCCATTGTGGCTGTGACAGCCAGTGTTCTGAAGCTATGTGATCTCATTGCAGGTTGGTGACCAATGGCTCCCTCTGACTCCCTGTGGCATCTTCCTCTCTTAATTTCTTCTATGAGACACACAAACTGTGCCTGAGCCCAGACTCTCTTCTTCCCTCAGTGGTCTCCACACCTGTTATCACCACCACAGAAATAAAAGCCCACTACATCCTGATGAATGTCTTGTCACAGTTCTTACATTAGGATTGTTGGCAGGGTGTGGGCTATGTGTGGGGTGAGATGGTACCTGAGTGACAGGGACAGATCCAGAGATGGAAGGGCCATCAGAGTATACCTTACAGCTCTCCTCTATGTATAGAGTTGTGGAAGCCTGGAGAGGGTGGCCACACAGAGCCCCTGGGTGAATGTGGCAGAAGCCCAAACCATCCATCCACACATGTTCAAAATGTGTATTGAGCACCTACTGTGTACCAGATCACAGGGGGATGGGGTGATGCTGGAAAACAACCTCACTCAGACATTTGCTTTGTCTCTTCAATGGTCCTAAGGACTGGTGCAGAATGAGGACCACCCTGTTTGAAGAGATGAAGGAGCATAGACAGACAGGCTCATGTGGCTGTGCCCTTTCCTGCCTGTCTCTTCCCCAGGGGCAGTTTGAGCCCTTGTCCTCTCCAGTCTCCCTTAGCCCTGACATTGCTACTCAGCACCTGGACATCACCTATCAGATTCTAAAAAGCTTGGTCTCCCTACGGAGGGCAATGTCCTGGTGACACCCACCTGGGCCCTGACTCCATGCTTGTCAAGGAGGTTGCAACTCATGAGGTCTCCTTCACAGTTTACCACATCCTGATAACTGCAGGAAGTAACTGATGTTCATAGAGGCAAAGTGGTTCATTCAGGCCACATAGTAAGCAAGGGTCAGTGCCAGGATCTGAACCCACAGCCATGGGGCCCCTAGACTTTCTTTGTATGGTGGTTTGAATAATAAATCTCTCCCACAGTCTCTGGATTTCAAATACTTAGTCCTCAGTTGGTGCTATTGGGGGAGACTTAGGAAGTGTGGCCTTGCTACAGGAAGTATATCGCGAGGGTCTGCTTTGATATTCCAAAGCCTTAGGGCAATCCCTTTTGGCTCTATTTCTTGCTGGTGGCTCAAGATGTGAGCTCTCAACTGTTCCAGTCAACATTTTGCCTGTTGCCATGTTTCCTCACCATGATGGTGATGAACTCTTACTCTTCTAGAACTATCTGCCCAAATAAACTTCCCTCTTGAGGTTCCCTTGGTCATGGTGTTTTCACATGGCAACAGAGAATTAACTGACATACCTGGCTCAGACCAGGTGACCTCACAGCTTCCATTGTCCCACTTTCCTCTTCCTGTTGCCTTCTTCAAGGACCAGGACCCCATGATGCTAGTCTTTTTGTACTTCTTCCACGCTGGCCCTCAATTTCCACTTCCTGTTCTCACTGTTCTCCCTACAAAAGCATTCTACCTGGGAAGATGCAAAGCAGAACTCAAGATGGTACAGGAGTTTGTCCCATGGGCCCTGCAGTCTCATCCTCCTAGGAGCCTTGCTTATTTCCCAGCAGCCATCTCATGGCTCTGCATAGTTCCAGAAAGGGGGGTTCTGATCTTTCCCCATGGGAAACTCTGTGCCTTTTTTTCTTAACTTTTTTTGGTCAGAGCGTTTTATCACAACAAAAGAAAGAGAAAACAGATGTGTGTCTGTAACAGATAGTGAGATTGAAACAGTAATAAAGCCTCCCAACAAAGAGACCTGGACCAGACAGAGTCACTGCCAAATCCTACCAAACAAAAGAGTTCAGACCAATGCTCTCTGAACTGTCTCATAAAATAGAAAGGGAAGGAATGCTACTAAAATCATTCCATAAAGCCAATATTGCCCTAATACCAAAACCGGATAAAGACACAACAAAAAACGGATAACAATAACACAACATCCCCGATGAACAAAATTCAAAAACTTCTCAATAAAATTCTTAATAACTAAGTGTTCGCAGCCGTCGCCGCGCCATCGCTGCTCCCTAACGCCAGCGCCGTCTCGCGCTTGCAGAGCTCCACCCGAAGGAGAAGAGGGGTAAGTAAGGAGGTGCCCATACCATGGCTCCTACAAAGCAGACTGCCCGCAAATCCACCGGTGGTAAAGCACCAGGAAACAACTGGCTACTAAAGCCGCTCGCAAGAGTGCGCCCTCTACTGGAGGGGTGAATAAACCTCATCCTTACAGGCCTGGTACTGTGGCACTCCGTGAAATCAGACGTTATCACAAGGCCACTGAACTTCTGATTCCCAAGCTCCCTGTCCAGCGTCTGGTGCAAGAAATTGCTCAGGACTTCAAAACAGATCTGCGCTTCCAGAGTGCAGCTATTGGTGCTTTGCAGGAGGCAAGTGAGGCCTATCTGGTTGGCCTTTTTGAAGATACCAACCTGTGCTATCCATGCCAAACGTGTAACAATTATGCCAAAAGATATCCAGCTAGCACACCGCATACGCGGAGAACGTGCTTAAGAGTCCATTATGAGGGGAAACATTTCATTCTCAAAATTTTTTTTCCTCTTCTTCCTGTTATCAGTAGTTCTGAGTGTTAGATATATTTTCCATGGGGTTAAAAGGTACCTAAGTATATGATTGCGAGTGGAAAAATAGGGAACAGAAATCAGGTACTGGCAGTTTTTCCATTTTCATTTGTGTGTGAGTTTTTAATATAAATGCAAGATGTAAAGCATTAATGCAAGCAAAATATTTCAGTGAACACATTTCAACAGTTCGACTTTATAACAATTATAAATACACCTGTTAAAATTTTCTGGACAATGCCAGCATTTGGATTTTTTTTTAAATAAGTAAATTTCTTATTGACGGCAACTAAATGGTGTTTGTCGCATTTTTATCACACAGTAGATTCCATCCATTCACTATATTTTCTGACTGAGTTATCCTACATGCAAGTACATGTTTTTAATGTTGTCTGTCTTCTGTGGTGTTCCTGTAAGTTTGCTATTAAAATACATTAAACTATTAAAAAAAATCTTACTAACTAAATCCAAGGACACATTTAAGAAGATCATACCCTATGATCAAATTAGATTCATTCTAGGGACACCAGATTGTCTCAACATACACAAAACACTAATTGTAATTGTCCTGGCTAGTTTTATGTCAACTTGATACAAGCTAGAGTCATCTGAAAGGAGAAACACCCAAGTGAGAAGTCTTCCATATGATCCAGCTATAAGGCATTTTCTTAATTACTGATTGACAGCCCGTGGTGGGTAGTGCTATCCCTGTGCTGGTGGTCCTGAACTCCATAAGAAATCAGGCTGAGCAAGCCATGAGGAGTAAACCAGTAAGCACATGACCACTGCATCAGCTCCTGCCTCAAGATTCCTGCCCTGTTTGGGTTCTTGTCCTGACTTCCTTCAGTGATAAACAAGGCTGTGGAAGTGTAAAGCTGAATCAACCCTTTCCTCCCAAAGTTGCTTTGGTCATGGTGTTTCATAACAGCAATAATAACCCTGACTAAGACATAGATAGGCTTAAAGACAGAGACCACAGAAGCATGTGAACAGAGGCAGAGATGGCCTCTGACAAAGCTCATATCAAAAACTCTGAAGAAAGTAGAAACAGAAGAATGATACCTCAACATACCTCAGCAGAGCAATTTAATACAAACCCCATCCAGCAGTATACTAAATGAAGAAAAACTAGAATCATTTCTTTGAAAATCAGGAATGAGGCAAGTGTGACCCCTCATACTCTGAAAAATAGTGCTGAAAGTCTTAGCTAAACAATGAGAGTGAAGCAAGAAATTAAAGGAATAAACTAGGGAAAAGAGAGAGGTTTGGAGATAGTTCAGTTGGTAAAGTGCCTGCCTTGCAAAAGTGAGGAACTGAGTTTGAGCCCCAGGACCCACATAAAAATGCTGGGTGTGGGATTCACATAATTCTAGTGCTGAGGAGATACAGACAGGAGACTCTTTGCCATTTACTGGCCAATCAGCCTAGCCTAATTGGTGAGTTCCAGGCCAATAAGAGGCCCTGCCTCAAAAGAGGTGATGGCATTCCTGAGGGTGGCACCCTGATATTGTCCTCTGGTCTCTGGTTACATGGACACACATGGGCATACACACACCACTGACACACAGGTACCCCCCCATACTTAAACATGTACATGCTTTAAAATATAGAAAAGGAAGAAGTTAAGAAATCTGCATTTGCAATGACATGATTCTATAATGACAAGACCCTGTAGATGCCACTGGGGAACTCTCAGACGTGACAGACACTGTCAGCAAAACAGCACAATGCAGAGTCAACATAATAAAAGCCAGTAGGTTTTTTTAAAAAATGTATATGCCAATAGAGAACTTGTGTATATGCCAATAAAGAGCTTGCTGGACAACAAAATCAGAGAAAATAATCCTTTTGCACTAACTTCAAATACGAATTTCAGAAATAAACCCAGGCCGGGAAGCGAAAGACTTCTACACTGAAAATATAACACACTGAAGAAGATACTACCAGACAGAAAGGCATTCCATGCTAATGGATTGGCAGATTAACATTATGGAATGTGCAACAGAAAGCAGTTTACAGATTCAATGCAATTCCCAACAATATTCGCTTGAAGTTCTTCAAATAAAGTCCTAAAATCCATACAGATGCACAAAAAGAACCTGAAGAGTCAAATAATCCTAAGCAGAAACAGAAATGCTGGAGCTGTTAATATTCTGATATGCCTCTTGAAAACCCACCCCTTGGAGTCACCCTGTGTCCTGACATAACAGCCTCATTTTAAGGAAATCTCTTCCCTTTCTTCCCTCCTCTCTTCCTCTTTTCTCCCACAAAGTGTGCTCCCTCAAACCCCCCTCTCTCTTCCTCTCTCCTTTATGTCTATCTTTCTATCTATCTTTCTAAAAAATGCTTTCTGTGCAGATGCAGCATCTGGGTTGTGAATTATTGGCTGCTGCTGCCACCATGTCTGCATGGCATTCATATGCCCAGCCTGCCACTGCATCTGCCCAGCATGCCAGCAAGCTTTCCCCCATGGATCAGCCCTCGCCCAGTCAGACTTGGGTCCCCTGCATACATAATTCATAACATTGGCGCCCAACATGCGGCTATCTTGCACCATCCCTTGCTGACTCTCTGGGAAGATGGAGGTCAGATTCATCTT